TCAAATAGTGGCGGCCGGATGCCGAGAGTTTCGAATTTCACCAAACGACGTATGTGGGGCACCTTGTCGAAGGTTTTGCTAAGATCAAAGTAGATATCTATCCCTGACTGCCGCTCATTACGAAGAGAAGTAATTAAATTAAGAAATGCCAAGAGGCGAGTTTCACAGGATAGTTCAGGTAAAAAAGCAGGCCGGCTAGAGCTCAGAAGTCGATTAGCTAGACAGAAGTCAAGAATTTCATTTGAAATTGTCCATTCAAGAAGCTTTGCTAGAGACGGTGTTTTGTGCACGCCCCGATAGTTATTAACATCGGACCGAGATCCAGACTTGGAGACGGGAATGATAGTTGACGTTTTCCAGGTGTCCGTAAAAAATCCGATCAAAATATAAACCGATTATCAATGATTAAGCAATATGGGAATATCGGACGTCCGAAACGACTTCTTGCTTCCCGTGCTCGAATATTTGCGAATTCCAAGAGTTCTGCAAAATTTAGATCTCTATCATTTATAGCTGTTTTGTCAGCCACTTACGATCACTGGATGTGCATAAAAAACGGTGGACAGCGCACTATTCACTCTAGGACATTCAGAGTCTGTAGGTTGGACGAGTAGTTAATTTGTATGAGTGATATTTCACAACTTTTCATTTTCATGCACAAATCTGAAAGTGCCTTTGCGGTCCAGTTAACTTGGCGGCCTGTCTGAAGGCGACATCTAGAAGAGCGTTAGACACTGCATGAGACTGGCCAAAAAGCCGCTCAGTATTCCTCGTGCTCTTGAATATGCCAATGGTGAGGGCAGCATGACGCACTCTTCGATTGCCGTTCTCACACCACATCTGCAATAGTGAATTAAGAACAGAAGCCTCTGTACAGCATCTTCAACTTTGCCCTCCACATACATTTCAAACTGTCTTACGAACTTCCAAAAACGAATTGGGTTGCCCTCAAACCAGGACATCCCAACATTCGGCAGTTCTAAACTAGCATCTGACAGGCTCCTAGCACTGGCTTTGGGCATATGAACATGTTCAGTCCCTCTCTCGAAATCAAAAATATCCCGTTGGAAATTGTCCTCACGTTTAACACGTCTCTCTTCTATTTCAGTAGTTCTTAAGGTCTTAACTGTTTTACTGGAACTAAGATTACTTATAGAAACGTTCTTACATGAGCCGGACTGGACGTCTGCCTTCAGTTCTACTTGTCCTTCGAAATCATCGGGGTTGTCTGGTCCGAGAGACTGTTCCGTATT